AGGGAAAAAGAGCCATCACAATCAACAGGCACATAAGAGACATATGGCTCAGAATCTAATCCATTGAAAGTATGCAACTTGGAATTGAGGAGTTACAATAGCGGTCCTATAGCATAGTCCAGACTGCCTCAGGTTAGAACTGAGGTATTCCAGGACCTGCAAAGGGTATACAAGATCACAGCAGTATCTTATATTAAATAAATCCAGTGTTAACACTCTTGTCTATGTTCATTTTTCCTAAATTTTAAGCAAGCAAAACTGCCCAAAATCTGGTCTTTGCGTTTGTTACTACACATTTACAACCTACTTAGATAAGTTTCTGGAAAAAAAAGTTGGGTTTTTCTGGTTTTTTTTTTTTTTTTTTAGGTCAAGGGTCTTCTCACAACTTCACCACTGTTTCTACCTTCTAACAACTGCTAAAGAGGCCTCCTCTTCCTTCTCCAGGAAAGAGTTTAAGTTGATTATCTGCTATCTAGAGTTTTGGGGTTTTTTCCCCTGCCCTTCTGCAAAAATGTCAAGGAAGATGTTTAATTATTTTAACCAAGCTACACTTTGCTTTGCCAAAATTGGAATGAAAAAAAAAATTTGTTCATGCCAAGTGGTAGCACAGCAGTAATACTAGACCCAAGGGAAAGGTCCTAGGTTTTGCATCCCAGGACTTTCCTAAAGACACCTGACCATGCTATGTCAATGATACTGGCCAGCTAAGATTGGAGGTGGACTATGGTATGAAGACCCTAATAGGGATGCCTACTTCTTCTCTCATGGAAGAAAATAACCTTTAAGAAAAAAAGTGTGTTCCATGCCCAAAAATCCTGAATGTTATAGGATACAAAAAAAAAAAAAACTACAAGTAGAATGATAAAGAAAATGCATGCAACCATGCTAACCAAGGTCCCCAGCAGGTATGGCAAAATAGCACAGAGACTGTTTCAAAGGTTTAGGGAACTTTTAAGGATAGACCACTATACTTGCAGGATACCTCTTCAGTGATCACGTTTTACCCTCCTAAGGCAAGGTAAGCAAATGAAATCTCAATAACTCGCATCCTAGCAACCTCATACAGCATCTCCTAAAAAGGACAGGTTAAAGGGATCGCTTGAACAATTTCCTCTTAATTAAAAATGTTTCTTTTTTAACAATTTGGGTTTCTTTTCTTTTTCACTGTTCCCATCTTTTAAAAATTATATATCCTTATTAGGATAGGCAAAAAAGGGATGAAGAAGAGGCAAAACAATGCAGTCTTCAAGTGCTCCCCAGACTCACAACAAACTTGAAGACAATGGCCTGCACGACTACTCTCAGGATCTGATCAAGGGGCAGTGATGTGCAAAGCACACTTTCTTATAACAATTTCCTAACGCTTTGTGATGGTTAGTTTTTCAACAGGCATAAATTACTTGCCAATTAACTACTTTATCAAAATTAACCCAAAAGCTCTACCGCTGCAGGCACCTATGCTTCCAAAGTTCAGTCGTGGTACAACGTTTGTTTTTGTGGTAGTATTATACCTAGGGGAGAAAGGAAGCATACACCACACTAGTTATCAAACTCACGGATGAATGGGGATTTCAGCGACGACTTGAGTATCTGACCAGAACAGAAGACTAAGAGCTGCCTCCAGGCCGCAGGCCCCTGTCCTTGGCCAGGCCATCACCTGAAGTGAACGGGCTTCTGGTTCTCTTATCATCTCTCCAAACCTGAAATCCCTTACCTCAAAATCAATCAAAAGCAGGGGGAAGAAAAGTGTCTTCTTAAGGCGCAAATAATGCCACAACTTTGATGAATGAAACGGGGCTAAGGACAACCGGAGCAGGCTTTTGGCTGAAGTCAGAAAAAGAGAAGTCAAAGATTTTTTAACGTGAGAGCGTTTTACGACCTGGGCACAAATACTGCACAAACACGCTTTGGAGGAACGTTTTATTGAGCGCGGACTTTCGGGGCGGCCGGCGGACGCTAGAGTGGAGGCGGGCGGCGGAGGCCAGTTGGACGGAGCAGGCGGCGGGACCGGCGACGAGGCAGCTTCACGACAGGCAGGGACCGGACGAGGCCGGAGCCGGGCTGGGTGCTCGCGCGTGTCCTCCCGTGGACCTTCCACTGGACTCCCACGGGCCGGCCGTGGGGCCGGGCCGGGGGG